AAAAAACTTAGTACAGTCATATGTGCCTCTCATAGCTACACAGAGAAAGCAAAAATAGGAGAGTGGTCCAGGCTGGCCTAGGCAAAAAATAAGACCCTATTTTAAAAAAGAGAAAAAAAGAATAGGTGCATAGCTCAAGTGCTAAAATACATGCCTGAGCTCAAAAACAGGGGCTGGGAAGGTGGCTCAGTGGTAGAGCGCTTGCCTTGCATGCTCGAGGCCCTGGGTTCGATTCCTCAGCACCACATAAGCAAAAAGAAAAAAGCCGGAAGTGGCGCTGTGGCTCAAGTGGTAGAGCGCTAGCCTTGAGCTGAAGAGCTGAGGGACAGCGCCCAGGCCCAGAGTTCAGGCCCCACGACCGGACCCCAAAAAAAAAAAAACCAAAACACCCATGGATCCAGTCAACATAAGAATAGTCAGTGGGAGCCGGGCACTGGTGGCTCACGCCTGTAATCCTAGCTACTCAGGAGGCTGAGATCTGAGGATCACAGTTCAAAGCCAGCCCGGGCAGGAGAGACTGTGAGACTCCTATCTCCAATAAACCACCAGAAAACCGGGAGTGGCGCTGTAGCTCAAGTGGTAGAGCGCTCGCCTTGAGCTGAAGAGCTGAGGGACAGCGCCCAGGCCCAGAGTTCAAGCCCCATGACCGACAAAAAAAAAAAAAAAGAATAGTCAGTGGGCATGCTGGCTCATGCTTAATTCCTAGCTCTCAGGAGGCAGGAGGAGGCCCTCCTGAGCATAAATTAAGCAGGACTCCATCTCAACAAAGAATTTATATATGGTAGCATGTACTTGTCGTCTCAGCTACTTGAAAGACACAAATAGGAGGATTACAGATTAGGCTGGTCTACACATAAACAGGAAACTATCTCAAAAATAAAGTAGAAAATGTGGCTTAACCTTGAGTTCAAACCTCAGTATCTCCCCCCAAAAGGGAAGATTACTATCTATTCAACAAGAGTAGATTTTTGTTCTAAGCAAAAAATAAATAGGTCCTTGTCCAGCAGGCTCGGACACCCTCCTGCAAATGACAGCACCTGATCTGACAAGAACGGTACATGCTAGGTAGGGCCAAGGAGACGTGGTGGCCTTGGCATCTCACAGAAGGGAGGAAGCACTTCTCTGAAGACAAAATGTGGCTTAGTCTTCTTTCCTCACTAAAATAAATAGCTTAAATTCTGTTCTTGTTCCAAGACCTTCACTACAAAATCTCTGGTTAGCTTCATCCTTGACTCCTTGAAGACCTCAGGTTTTCTGTCTTGACTGAAAAATAAATGCAGGAGATGTCCAAGTAAACACCTCACTTTCAGGCAGGACCCATGAGCTCTTTGGGGTTTCTTTTGTCCCACAGTGCCAAACTCTATAAAGAACTTAGACTAGTTACTAACATGTTCTCAAATGTAAATTGTGAGCACCTCCCCATGCCCCGCAAAAAAATAAATAAACAAAAAAAAAAAAAAAAACACCTGTCTCGGGGCTGGGAAGTTGGCTCAGTGGTAGAGCGCTTGCCTTGCATGCTTAAGGCCCTGGGTTCGATTCCTCAGCACCACATAAGCAAAAAGAAAAAAAAAAGTCGGAAGTGGCGCTATGGCTCAAGTGGTTGAGCTGAAAAGCTGAGGGACAGCACCCAGGCCAACAGTTCAGGCCCCACGACTGGACACCCCCCCCAAAAAAAAAATAAATAAAAGCATCAGCCACCAGGACAGAACAAGTATAGCTTTCCTATCTTAGCCTTTGATCTGAAACAATAAACTCTGCTATCTTTAAAAAAAAAAAAAAAAGCCTGTCTCTGACCCTCTGAGTCAGAGTAAGAAATTTCTTAGTACCAACTAAAGCATATGGACTGTAAGGTAATAACTAGAGAATGAGAGACATTCATATCACTCATGAACATGGCACTTGCATCATTTTGGAAGTCCTTTCTAAAAATACAATACACTACTCTGAGAGAAAAGAATTACTACTTCCATTTAACCAAAAGTACAATACTTCAATGACTTGGAAAAACCACAGTTGTTATAAAAATGGCAGATTCTGAACGAAAAGAGAGTAATGGAAAGGCCATATCATGAAAATGACACAGTCTTCCCTTAAGTCCATCACCATACTACCATGGTTATAACCACAAATCAATTAAGAATTACTTTTGATGAAGTATTTATAAGGAAAATAAAAGATCTGCAGAAGGATTTTGCTGGTTTTAATCCAAAATAGGCCATGTTATACATTAGTAAGTATGTGTTTACATTATTAAATACGTGTAAAAGCTTTTAAATATCAAAGAGGGTTTTCAAGTATCTCCTAAATTTGAGAAAACAGATTATCTACTACTCAGGATGCCAACATGGAGGCTGGCTCAGCAATCCATAGTGGCTCTGGGCCTTCACCAAGGAGCACACAGAAACCTAAAACTTAATTCACTGGGAAGGTGGCTCAGTGGTAGAGTGCTTGCCTTGCATGCATGAGGTCCAGGGTTCGATTCCTCAGCACCACATAAGCAGAAAAAGCTGGAAGAGGTGGTGTTAGCGCTCAAGTGGTAGAGCGCTAACGTTGAGCTGAAGAGCTGAGGGACAGTGTTCAGGCCCTAAGACTGACCAAAAACAAACAAACAAACAAAAATCTCGATAAGGAATGTACTCATTATCTTGCCCATGTAATTATAACCCCTCTGTACAGTATTTTCACAAAAAAAAAAATCTCAACTCATGATCCAGAAATCCCTACTTTTTCTGGAGTTTCTACTTATGTACTCATGATTTCTATCTGGGTAATGAAGGACCCCAGCCAAGGCGGTATGTAACATACTTTCTAACATCACATCGTTCAACCCATAGCTGTACTATTACACTTGATGCCTCTGTGGCAGCAGGAGAGCTGAAATGTCTTCTCTCTTTCCAGTACTACAGTTTTTCCTAGTTTTCCTATTTTTACCTTTCTTGTCTTTACTTTCCACCTTTCTTTGCATCTCTACTTCTTCATCGTCAACACTCTTATCTTTGAATAACAAAGGAGAAATCATTAGTATGCAACTCAAAAAAGAGCCTTAATCAGACCCTTACCATATTCAGATTTCCAACCTCCAGAACCATGTGGGAGTAGTAAATTTATGTCATATATAAGCCGTCAAATCTATGGCATTTTGTTATAGCATCCTAAAGACTAAGATATACTTGCTCCTTTCCAACAGCTTTTTGAAAAGCATCTAATGACATTTTAAGATACCTGAAATATGTACTGATTTTTCATAAGAAAATACCCAAATAAGCTAATGAATCATGAAACATACTATCATCAAGGTGCTGGGAACTAGTGGCTCACACCTGTAATTCTAGCTACTCAGAAGGCTGAGATCTGAGGATTGTGGTTTGAAGCCAGCCTGGACAAGAAAGCCTGTGAGTCTCTTATCTCCAATAAACTACTCAGAAAAACCTAAAAGTAGTGATATGGCTCAAGTGGTACAGCACTAGCCTTGAGGACAAAGAGGCTCAGGGACAGTATCCAGGCCCTGAGTTCAAGACCAGGGACAACACCCCCCCACTCCCCCCAAAAAAATCATCAAGGTGCTATGAGGTAAATATTTGCAAGAAATTATCAGCCATGACTTTCTTTTAAATGTGTGCCTAATGTAAATATCTATCAAAATAAATGTTGGTTACATTTCACATACAATCCCATTATCTGTGATTCTTACCAGACTAAATAAAGCTGGCATCAACGGCTCTTATCTATAATCACAGGTACTCTAGAGACTGACATTATTTAGGAGGTAGAACCTCCTAAGCTCCTCAGGAGGATCATGGTATAAAGCTAGTCAGGATAAAAAGCTCACAATACTACTTCAATCAATAAGTAGGTATAATATGTGCCTGTCGGCCAGCTATGTGACACGCTGAGATTGAGGCAAAAAAGCTTGCAAATCCTGTATCTATAGAAAGAGCTGGACGTAAGGATGCACATCTGCCATCCAGCTACAGTGGAAGTATACATGAGGGTAAAGTTCAGGCCCATCTAAGCCAAAGTGAGTCCCTAAAGAGGCTGCAGGTTTGGCACAAGTGGTAGAGTATCAGGCTAATAAGAGCAAATCTCTGAGTTAAAATCCAACTATTGTTTTTTTTTTTTTTTTTTTTTTTGGGTAGAAGGGCTGGGAAGGTGGCTCAGTGGTAGAGTGCTTGCCTTGCATGCATGAGGCCCTGGGTTTGACTCCTCAGCACATGAACAGAAAAAGCGGGAAGTGGCACTGTGGCTCAAGTGGTAGAGCACTAGCCTTGAGCTGAAGAGCTGGGGGACAGCGCCCTGGCCCAGAATTCAGGCCCCAACACCAAGGCAGAAAAAAAAGAAAGAAAGAAAGAAACTATTGCTTATCCAGGAAATGTTAGCTCTCTACCTCTTTTTATTCTGACTGTATATTTCCCATTGGCTTGAAAGAAATGAGTCATCTACCTGTACCGGTGGCTGCCCTGTATTTTGGCATCTGATAAAATTTAAAGATGCCTAGAAAAAAAGAAAAGGAAAAAGAAAACCACTATATAAAATATTCTCGGGGCTGGGAAGGTGGCTCAGTGGTAGAATGCTTGCCTTCCATGCATGAGGCCCTGGCTTCAATTCCTTATTTTGATTTTTACACTCTTGGTCTTAGGCAGGCAACTCTCTGCTGTTGAGGCCAGGAGCTTCAGGTAGTTAAGATCATTGAGTCCAAAAGCACTCTGGGAATCTTTCAAATTCAGGACCTTTCAGACAGGCAGAGGAAAGGAAGAGGAAAACAGGGACATGGGAGACAAATGACCCACAGGAGGAGGACAGGCCCTTATATACTATCACCTTAGCATCTTTGCCCCTAGGACATGAGTGGGAGAAATTGTGTGTCAAGTCTTCACAACAGCAAGTCTAAAACTGAAGCAAAAGACGTTTAAGTGGTGGGATGGGGGTGAGGAGGGAGGGATGGAGTTGTGCTCAACAACCAGAAGTAACCAAATAAAAATCAAAACAAAATCACAGCTGACCTCACTGTTGTGGCCCCGCAGGTTGAAGTTTATCCTCTGTGGAGTACTCCTGTCTCTGCGGCAGTGGCTTGAGGTGAAAGTCACCCCCACCACACCACGCCCGTTGCCAGTGGCCAGCCAGCCTTCTTCATAGTACCGCCTCCGGCACACAGGCTTCTCCTTCTCGCTCTTGGGGACGCGCCCCTTCCAGGACAGGCAGAGGATGTTGGAGTCACTGCAAAGCACAGGCCCATGTTCCACCGCTGCATACATACTTCTTTCAATAAATTATTTCACTTAAAAAGTAGAGTTTAGTATTGAAAAATTTGAAACAATTTCTTTTGTTTATCTTTGTGGTTGGCTTCTGTTGCTTTTCCCCCCTTTAATTAAGACTGACCTAGAACTAATTAGAAGGCCAGAATTTTATAAAGATCCACCAAATGCATAGTGAAAAATTCCTCTATAAAAGATGATGGCAGTCTGTTAAGAAAAGGGAATGCCTAAAAAAACATGAGCTCCATTTTTATTTTCAAGTCGTTAGAAGAGGAAGAACGTGCTGATCCTTTGGACAAAGAGCTTTGTCAGAAAGCGGTGGTCAAGAAACAGAGTTCTCTTCTTTTTTCTATACAACTTCTCATTCAGCCTGAGATTCCAGTTTTGAGTAATGTGATTCCAGAGACAAAGGGTTGCAAATACATAGATTTCAAGTAACTTAAGGCTTTAAGAATCCCTCTAGCTGGAGTTCTCTATTCAAAAGTTCAGATACACAATACACAGGATCTTCCTTCTGAAGCCACCCGCTGGCATGTTTTCTGAACTAGACAAATTTCTGCTGCTACAGCTGAAAAAGATTGCATAAAGGGAAAAAAAGGCACACAAACCGTGCAAAACAGACCAGAGTTTGTGCAGACAGAAGTCCAAATTTTAGGAAGAAAAGCAGTTTCCCTACTGTTCAGAACCAGAAACTCCCTGCCTCAAAGCTGGGCCCTGTGTCCCCAGGGAACACAGGGCTTCCTAGGATGACTTTTCCACTGGTGGGTACACTCCTCCATGCCATAGAGCTAGAAAGCTAGCCCCTTTCCTCAGCTGAGGCAGAGGCTAAAGCTACTCAAGTGGACCAAGTCCGTGCCTTGGGCAAGTCCTAAATCTTCTTGCCAACAAGTTACACTGCAAGATTTTCCCTTTCTTACTTCCTATTTACTTCCCCACTATTCTGCTCCTAAAGATCATGTATTTTACTATCTTAATGAAAAACTGTAACCTCACAATTAAATCTATCAAGTAATCTTCTTATATGCAGTCTTCCTCATCTCAAGAAGATGAACAATTCCTTGCAGCACACACCCAGGGCACCATCAGAGTCCTTCAGACTGTACCATCTGCCAAGAGGGTCACCGTACTTCAATAACAAGCGTCTTCATGTCCACATGCAAGGCCTGTTTTCATGCCTTTAGCCCAAGGAAAAAGCAGCTTTGTTTAGTTTTCCTTGATATTTACTTTGTAATTATCAATTCCAACTCTCCTAAAGATGCAGAAAAGAGAAAGCCAAAAAATTAAACTAAAATTCCTCAAATATAGTTAAATAAAAACAGCAAAGGAATTAGTTCATTGTTCAAAATTGTGTCATCACACCTAAATTTGTTTTCTGAAGCCACAGTAACAGTAAAAGTTACTTTTCTGTCCAGAATTTTAAAGTCTGTCCAAGTCACAAACCCAATAAAAAAATAAAGTGCAAAAACCACTGCATGATCCCACCTGCAATGTTTGAATTCACACTTCCCTACTTATATTCCTTCTTTAAACTGCAGAGGTATTTCTGAGGCTTAATCTGTGCAATTTTTTTTCTTCTTTTTGCAAACTTTCTTTACCCGTGAACACCATATGGAAAATTGGCCATTAGTGATATGTTTCTCCCGAGGCTCCTGAGCCTTGTGGTATCAAGTTGCTTCATCTGATTTTTAAATTAATTTGCATCAGTTGTAAAACTCTCAATGGCATAAAAATGAGCTTCTCTTCTTATGTAAATCATATGTATAGAGAGAGGATTTTAAATATACACCAACACATTCTTCTACCAGCACTTGCACTTAAAGTACTTGTTTTCCCAGTCACTTCAGGAAATCATCAGATTAATCACTGTTTGAAGATCTTGGAGTCTTACAAATCTGTAAAACAAAAAGGATAGAGAACAGGAGAACTTTAAAATACTAATGAATAAATGCTCTTACAAAATAATTGCTATAGTTTAAATTAGAAACCCATCTCTACACTTAAGTCTATAGAGCACTGATTACATTGCTAAAATTTAGATAGCAAAAGAATATGCTGCATGAACTTTGAGAACACATATAACATGAAGAATTTGAGTATCATGGACTATTCATTTTGTTAGATCTGTCAAGGGCTAGTTACATCTGGATGAAATCATTGCTCCATTCTTCTGCATCACACTGTCCTTTCTAAAACTCTGGTCCTAAATGTGAGACTTCATACTTACAGAGAATCTGGACATTGTTTAAGCAGGAAATTTGTTTAAAAAGAGACCCAGGTAAATTACTTGAATTAATTTTGTCACTATCAGTAAGATAATCCCTAATGACAGAAAGCAGTAAAGACTTTTTTTTTAAATATATTTTTATTGTGAAAATACTGTACAGAAGGGTTACAATTACATGGATAATGAGCACATTTCTTATCAAGCATTGTAGCCTCCTGCTTTGTTTCCCCTTCCAATTCCTTCGTATCCACCCCCACCCCGTCCCCCCCACCAAAGTTGTAAAGTTCGTTTTTCTTTTCTTTTTTTTTTTTTGGTCGGTTGTGGGGCTTGAACTCTGGGCTTGGGCGCTGTCCCTGCACTCTTCAGCTCAAGGCAAGCGCTCTACCCCTTGAGCCACAACACCACTTCCGGTTTTCTAGCAGTTTACTGGAGATAAGGGTCTCACAGACTTTCCTGCCTGGGCTGGCTTTGAGCGGTGATGCTCAGATCTCAGCCTCCTGAGTAAGCTAGAATTACAGGCGTGAGCCACCGGCGCCTGGCTTAAAGTTCGTTTTTCAGCATAACGACTTATACATCTCATTGTTGCAATGGGTCCTCCTGTATCCCTGTTTTAACAATTTGTTTTTTCCCTTCCCCTCCACATATACCAACATCATATATAGTGAAAGCAGGGGTTATTCCATGGGGGAGGGACATACAAGGCAACAAAGACATAATCTTATAAATATGTTAGAAACAATCTCATGAAAGATCTCTTTTTTTTTTTGTCAGTCATGGGGCTTGAGATCCAGGCCTGGGAGCTTTCCCTGAACAATTCAGCTCAAGGCTCATGCTCTACCACTTGAGCCATCGCGCCAGCAGTAAGGACTTTTAAAGCTCAGAAAGCAGGCAACAAACAGCAAAGCACAACTGTTTTCTTACCTTTTAAGTTATTGACTGGCAATAAAGTTCTAGAGAATCTATCTCTAGTATATCTACCCTATCCCTCTTCTGACTACCTAACAAGCAGGCCCACATCACATCCTCGAAAATTCCCCACTCTGCCCCCATCCAAGGGGCCCTCAAAGTGATCTGTCAGAAGTGCAGTGGTTAATTTTTCCAGACACTGAAGGGCAAGGCCAGGATGTCTGCGTTTCTAATAAAGTTCCAAGAAATACTAATTCTACCAGTGAGAGGAACCACTGGCTGATAGGATCAAGTTTCTGCAAGTTCCTTTTAGGAAAACTACTTTCATCATAATACAAGGTCATTCTTTCATTTCTATCTATGATGTAAAAGCCAATGGTGATCAAACTGTCAGCTCTAAGAAAATTTTTGACATGTCTAAGATCTACAATATTGAGGTTGTTATGCTATGCATTTCCACATATAGATTACTCTAGTTACCATCATCGTGTGTGTGTGCGTGCGTGCGTGCGTGTGTGTGTGTGTGTGTGTGTGTGTGTGTGTGTGTGTGTGTGTTACCAAAAGTCAGTTTCTGGCAAATGTGAAGGATGCTGCTATAAATATCTGCATATATCTGGACCCTGCAGGAATTGTGAAAAATGTGTCTAATGTACACATTCAGGTGTGGAATTACTATGTGAGGACTATCCATTCATACCTGCAACATTACTAAATCAATGGAGAAGCATCAATTGTACCAGCAGTACATGGATTTTCTGGGAAGTGCGGTGGTGGAGTTTGAACTCAGGGTCTCAAGCTTGCTAGGGAGGCATTCTACTACTTGAGCCACTCTCTGTCTCTACCCTGCTTTACTCATATCTGGGGGTAACTTCAAACTACCCACCCTGGCTTCTCCCATAGTATGCAAACTAGGCAACTACACCATTCTTTGTGGGGGGAGGGGGGGAGTGAGGGGAGTCATGGGGCTTTGTGCTCTGGGCTTGGGCGCTGTCCCTGCACTCTTCCGCTCAAGGCGAGCACTCTACCTCGAGCCACAGTGCCACTTCAGGTTTTCTGGTGGTTTATTGGAGATATGAGTCTCACAGACTTCTCTGTCTGGGCTGGCTTTGAACCACGATCCTCAGCTCTCAGCCTCCTGAGTAGCTAGGATTATAGGCGTGAGCCACCGACGCCCAGCTAACTATACCATTCTTATTGAGATAGTACCTCACTAACTTTTTTTTGCCAAGGCTGGCCACAAACCATGATCCTCCTAATATGTACTTCCTCAGTGAATGGGATTACAGGTACAAGTCACTGTACCTGCCTAGTCCATGGATTCTTTTTTAAGTTAACTACAGAGGGCTGGGAAGGTGGCTCAGTGGTAGAGCGCTTGCCTTGCATGCATGAGGCCCTGGGTTCGATTCCTCAGCACCACATAAGCAAAAAGAAAAAAGCTGGAAGTGGTGCTGTGGCTCAAGTGGTAGAGCGCTAGCTTTGAGCTGAAGAGCTGAGGGACAGCACCCAGGCCCAGAGTTCAGGCCCCATGACCGGACACAAAAAAAATAAAAAATAAAAAAGTTAACTACAGAATGTCCTTAGTCCAGCAGTTTAAAAAAAATTAAGCCAGCCAGGTGCCGGTGGCTTATACCTGTAATCCTAGAAACTCAGGAGGCTGAGATCTGAGGATCCAGCCCAAGCAGAAAAGTCCGTAAGACTCTTATCTCCAATTAACCACCAGAAAAAAGAAGTGGTGCTGTGGCTCAAGCGGTAGGGCAGCAGCCTTGGGCTGAAGAACTCAGAGACAGCACCCAAGCCCCAAGTTCAAGCCCCATGACAGACCAAAAAAAAAAAAAAGGGATTAAGCCAAGTGGTGGCTCAGACCTATAGTCTTAGCTACTTGGGAGTCTGAAATCCAGAAGATCACAGTTCAAAGCCAGCTCAGGCAGAGAAGTCCATAAGACTGCATCTCCAAACCAACCAAAAAAAAATC